CCAACACCAAAGGTTTATGGAGGTTTTGTGAAATTGACCAAAAATTTTTTAAGTATGCTTTGATGTTAAAGCGTCTAAGGTTTCACTAACAAGAAAATAATAAAGCATGATACAATCTAGAAAGATAAAAACGTATATAGGGAAAAAACTTTCACTTTGTCCATATTGCTAGGCTAAAGCCATAAACCTCTACTGAAGTTCAAGGTGATTAGCAATAAACTTTCTGAACTTCTAACTTAGAAATCCCTCTAAACTTTGAGGATTTCACAAAACTTTTCTGAACTTTCGAAAGTTACGAAAGTTTTTTTCTCAGTAATTCATTAAAAAAACTTTCCTCGTTATTTTCCCCTTATATCCTCTCCAATGAACCCTGGAACAAAATTTATAAAAATCTCTAGGTAACTATTTTCGAAAGTACCTTATGAAAGTACTGAGAGTTTAGGGTTTCTCTAATTTACAGAACTATTAGTGCAAATCACCCAAAAGTCGAGGAGGTTAAGGGGCATGATAATTGCTAAGGGGGGAAATTTTAAGGGGCCAAATGAGAATTTTCTCAAGGGCAACAGGCTTGTTCGCGGTGGTTCAAAGTTACCTCCACCGCGTATGATTAGGGTTGAGATTAATGAGGTACTGTGAGAAATAATATGTTTGACTCGTTAATCTGGCGGCTGTGCTGGACGTCACCGGACCCGGGCTGCACACTCACCTCTTAATCAGAGTGGGCCCACATCTCGTGATGACTACGTGATTCGTAAATAGGAATTCAGTAGGGCCCATCGTGCACCCATGGGTTACGTAGCAAACACGTGTTTGAAAAATAAACAAATTGAAAAAGAGGTACGCCTCCTCTTTTTTATTTGTCAAAAAGATGCTTTGAATTAAGCATTCAGTCTTTTTCTCAAGTTCATTAGTCTTAGCAAATTACCCTTTTTGGGTCTCCATACTGTAAATATGAAACTGTGATCTTCAAAGATTTGATACAATAACGTTGTGTTCTTTGACGGGTATAAGAGTCATACATGATTAAATCTTTCTTATCATATCCCACGAGATTATACTCGCATATTAATAACTTTCTATTATAAATATACTCACATATTAATAACTTTAAGGAAGACTCCTTAATTTTTTTAGTACAGTTCAATCTTCAGCTATAGTTTAATAACCTTCTACTTTAATCGTATTACTCTTTCTTATCATAACTAATGCGGGACTATACTCCAAATATTAATAACCTCAAAAACTCTCTCTTCAACTATAATTTAATAACATCATATTTTAACTTTATTACTCTTTCTTATTATATCCAATGTGAAATAATACTCGCATATTAATAACATCCAAAACTCCCCCTTAATTGGTGAGCATGGTATAGTCTTCATCTACACTTCAATCTTTTGTAAGACTTTCTAAGTTTTACACCACTTCATTTGTGGACTAACCAATTCGCTAATTCTTGCACCACTTCACTTGTGGGCTAATCAGACTGTGCATTCACTCGTGGACTAACCAATTCATTAACTCTTGCACCACTTCACTCGTGGGCTAATCAGACTATGCATTCAGCACATAGCTATAAAAATTATGTAGAATTTTCCACCACTTCACTCATGGTAACTATCCGTGGGCTAATCAGACTATGCATTCAGCAGATGGTTATTAAACATTCATAAAATCTCCCACCACTTCACTCATTGTGGCTAATCAAACTATATTAGACCTAATTGCATATGTAAGTTCTCTCTACACCCTCGGCCTTCATATTGGACTTCATAGACCATGGCCTTAGCTCTCATATCATTTACTAGGGGAGAATCAGACTTTAAGGACCGTGACATTAGCTCTGATATCATTGTTGGGGGAGAATAAGACTGAAATCAGTGTTGATGGTCCTTAAATGGAGGCTAGAAATCAAATTTTAATTCAAAAATTATAGCTATACTAGGTATTGATCTCAACTTCTATTTTAAAGTCATCAAATTTTCATATCATATCTAATGTGGAACATATACCCACGTATTAATAACCTCAACAACATACGGGTTTTTAAAAAGTTGATTCTCTGAGTTTTGATGCATGACAAAGTCTTTTGGCATCTCATCGTTTTCTTTTGAAACGAAACGAGTTTAAAGATGATTGTGGCCAGATTCACGAGAATTCTTATTAAAAGTGACGTATTAATTTCTTCATTTTTTGGTAAAGAGAGAAGGAAGTAGTAGCAAGTTATGGAAACTGAATGTTTAGAAATCAACTATGATTTATTTTACTTTAATCTTGACCAAATATATTATTTTCATTACTTAGATGTGTGGAAATTCTAAATACTTGTACCGGTATTCTCTCAATTAGGATACATGCTAAATGTTGAACCGATTAAGTTAAAGGCATGGACATTTTTTTTTACTAGAAGATAGTTAGATTAATAAATCAAAGATAGATGGATTAAGGGACTGTTTGGTTCAATTTCTAAAATTATAGGATTTGGAATCTCATCAAGAATTTTAAGTCCATGTGTTTTTAACATATTTTGGAATTCTTAATCTTATGTTTGGTTCAACTTGATCAGAGGAAAGCAAATTCTAGAAATTACAGTTTATTATTTGATTCAAACTTTAAAATATAGAAAAGTACAAATTGTATGGATATCTAATGCTACAACTTTAAATTTTTAGCATTCAAATCCTCTCCAAACTGTAGGATTTGGCAAATCCCAAAAGTTCTAACTTTTTTAATTTTATGGATATCTAAGAGCATCTCCAATTGCTTCCCCATCTTCTTGAAATACTCAATTTTGGAGAATATAGAGGGTTTTTTTGGTCCAACAGATTCCCCATCACATTCCCCAAAATAGGGAAGGAGGAGAAAAAATAGGGAGCCTTCCCCAAATCTGCAGCATTCTCCAAATTTTTGGAGAGAGCTTTATTATTGTAATAAATGCGATTTTTCAAAATGGGGAAGCTGTTGGAGTTGGAGCAAAAATAATTTGGAGAATATGACTTTTGTTTCTCCATTTTGGAGAAAATTTTGGGGAAGCTGTTGGAGATGCTCTAATACCAATATTTTTTTTTTAAAAACAAACACTCTATATGGAATCCCATAAATAAGAAGGAGACATTTTTGCTCCAAGAATTTCAAATCCACCTCATATGCTAAAAACTCATATTGAACCAAACAACCCCTAATAAAAACATATATCCCCGTACATACATAGAAATTACGGTTAGGCTTATCATCACTCTGCAATTGTGTTTTTGTGGGGGGGTGGTTTTGTAAATCTTGCACAGCTTGGGAGCTCCCAAGCGCTCCACAAATTTGTGGAGCGCTTGGGAGCTCCCAAGCTGTGCAAGATTTACAAAACCACCCCCCTACAAAAACACAATTGTAGAGTGATCAAAATTTGCCCAAAAAGGAAGCAAAAAATCCAACCTTTTCCAAAATGAAGAATGCTCGATTAATCAAAATAGTGACTTTGACCGGTTCTAACCTGATAGACCATCTCCGATCGGCAAGTCCCCTCTCCGATCGGCAAGGCCTGAGCTCCGATCGGCAAGTCCTCGGCAAAATAGAGACTTTGACACGGGAGATGAAGAGGCGTGGATTTGATTCGACGGGAGATGAAGAGGTCTCAAGGTCTGGGTTTGGGGTTGGGGATATGAAGAGGTCTCTTTTGAGATGAGGGGAGATGAGAAGGGGCTTGGTATTCCTGATGAGAATTTTAAGTGGCTCAGTCTCTTTTGTTTGTTTTTTTAATGATTTAATGAAATAGAATAGATACAAAGATCTGGTAAATGAAATAAATGAGCAATTAGAGTTGAAAAATGAGCGTTGAGTAATGGGTAAAATATTAAAATAGAAGAGGGATTTTTTAATATTGGTGGAGCTCCTAACTAGGAGCTTGTTGGAGCTCCATAAAAGAAGGAGGGCCTCCCAAGGCTTATTTTTTTATTTTTTTTATTCTAAAATGCTTGAGAGCTCTTGAGAGCTTGGTGACTAGGACTCCCAACTAGGAGCTTTATGCACTTGCTCTAGAGGTTCAGAATCTCCCCCACCGTGCGGCGATTACCGATAGAATCCGGACTCTCACACGCAAAGGAAGCGGGTCGCTCCTTTTGGCTGGAACAAATCTCCGCATAGCATCGACAGAATCCAAAGCCGTTGAGATATTTGCAGCACTCGACGAGAAGGACGTCGAACTTTATTTTAACCAATAAAACAGTAAAAACGTGATCACGTGTGGTCCACGTATATATATGTTTGGTGGATGGGTATAATTACGATGCACGCGTGGGGCGTAAGGATGTACTCATGAGAGGACCGTGATCGCATTATAACTCGGTCGGATGGGTCTTATCGCCGTGCGTGGCACGTGAGTTTGAGTCGAGATGATTGGCGACCGATGATCAAGAATTACATGACTTTGGAAGGTTGGGCTGTTTGGTTCCCAGTTTTTAAGGGAAAGTTTTTCTTAAAAGCCTGTCAAAAGTGTCAAAAATGCTACTTTTGGCAGGCTTTCAGTCAAATTCTTCTTTTTTATAGGTGATTTGGGCTGAAAGCCTGCCAAAAATGATACTTTGGCAGGCTTTCAAGAGAAAAAAAATTCTAACCAAACAGCCCCTTAGTGAAGGGGTTAGCGTGGCCGGGGATTCGCTGCTTTTGAAAAGTGGTGTCGCTACACGATTAGCAATCTTAATATTTGTCACTAATCATGAATTTTTCTAGTTTGAACCTTGAATTTTTAAAAAGTGGTGTCGCTACACGATTAACAATTAAAAAAATTACAATACCTTCCACAAGTTTTCATATTTTGAAAAAAAGATATATATAATCACATCATTAACAACATTATCAAATACGACGTTCTCAATGTATATCATAATCACGTGATCTAAATATTCGGTCCTTAGTATTTGTCGCTAATCATGATTTTTCTAGTTTGAACCTTGAATTGCGATATGAGTTTTTTAGTTGGTAGATTTTAGAAAAATGCCCTAAAATTACTCAGTATCTTTTAAAAAACTATAATGATGCTAGATGATTTTGTCACATGGATGGATAATAACTACATTAAAAAAAAATTGCTGATGAAAATTGTGGGTCATGCTTTTTGGAAGTTTTTTGAAAAACAATGAAGAAGGGGGCTTTCTAAGAAAACCCAAACTTAAGAGGGGTTTTGTGAAATGCACTTTTTAGTTGGACAGTTGGAGACTAGAGATTTAGGAAGGTGTTCGATCTTGGTCCACCTTGACCAAAGTGGGGGTCACGTGACCGATCCGCCGCTGGGTTAGCATAGAGATCAGTTGGCTCCGGAGCGCAAAGTAAGATCAACTCCTAATACTTATCTGAAATTTATAACAAGCCCTTGAGCTAATATTTTAACGTATTAACCCTTTACGTTTCTTATTCCTCGTCGTAGATTCTAGCCAAAAGCAAGGACAGATCCAAAAAAGGTGGCCTTACGCAGCAATTTTTTTAAGGTCAAACGAGATGAACTATTTAGGGGGTGTTTGGTTAGGCTAAATTTTTGGAAATCATGCAGTTTTGGAACAAAAAGTAGGTTTTTTGACATTTTTGGATTCTAAAACTGTCATTTGGTTCAACTTTTTTTTTTTAAGAATGCATTTCTTAAAAGCTGACATGACAACACACTTTATGGAAAAGCCAAATCTATTTTTAAAGCTCTGAAATGAGCTGGAAATCTGACAACTAATTGACAACTCATCAATTACTCTCACAACTCCTTAAATTTTTTGGAAATGAAACAAACATGAGTTTTGGAAATGCTTTCCTATTCTTCACTTCATCATTCTATACCAAACACAAGTTGTGGATTCCTGCATGATCCAAAATTTTTTTTGGAAATGGTTATTTGCCTTGGATTCCATTTCCATTATTTTATGGAAACGAACCAAACACCCCCTTAGTGGAAATGAGCTCAAATGGACTACTGCTTATTGGTTATATAACCAAACATGGGTCATTAGGGTACAAATTTTAAAATAACAAGGGAAGATTGAAATTAGGCTTAATAATGTAATTATGAAATGTTTTGAGATACAATTGTAACGCAGCGGCGAAGTAAGAAATCTCAAAATCCACTAAGGATTGTTCATTGAATCCACAAAAAAAAGATCTTCGAAATCCATGAAGAACTTCAAATCCACGGGAAAAAATATAATAAAGATGAAAATTTTATTGATGAAAATTTATGCTTACAATCACCCGCTTAAATAGAAAACAAACATTACTTCTAATATGACCATAACTTTACCAAAAGTAGAAATAACAAAACTCTCATTGAAAGACTCCCCATGATTGGGAAAACCGGTCAATTTTGAAATCAAATCTGATTTGTTTCCTAATCAAAACATTCCCCTAAATATTACTTAAAATAGTAAAAAAAACAAATAAAAACCCTAATATCTCTCAATCTGAAGGAAATTTCACGAAACAAATGGCGGAAATTTGAAGAATGATGGGTTTGGTTGACTCTGTCTAGAAAACACACGCGATTTTTATACATATAATTCGTCCAATTCTGACGTATAGTTTAGGAGATATGACTCCTTATTCGTTGCAAATTATTTTATTTATTTTTTGTCAGGCCCACATTTAGGTTTCTAACGACCCATTTTCTCTATGAATATACTCGCAATGCGTTCTACATCAAATTGCACCCCATGCTAGAATACAAGTCCGCCCCTAGCCACAAGTATTTTCAACTTTACTCTCAAGGCAATAGTGTTTTCGGCTGTGTTATTCTAATTAAAAAAGTGACCTCACGCAACACATTTTTTATATAAAAATCATCACACGTTTTTGTATGAAAGAGATGCCGACGATAGAAACGATTGCATGTGGTGAAGACGATGAAAAAAAATGGGCTACAGCTCACAATGGGCCAAAGGATTGCTTTATGGCCCAATATGGTTGGGCCAGATTGCCCACGATTGAAATTGAAGCCCGACTACGATCATCGTTAGTCCCATGTCCTGAAGTTTCAAAGATTATCAAAAAATAACCTTTTTAAATTACTCACTTATATTCGGCCCTGTCAATTTTATAAGCAATCATAGACGTCAGATACTTATAACCTGACTATTATATAACGAGTTACGATTAAGAATATTTGCATATAAAATGGATAATTTACCAAACTGGGATTACTAGTAGATCCATTTTCAATATGATATTTTTTCCTTGCACCTACTATATTATGTTATTAATATCAGAACTAATACCGATCTAGTTATTTTCCTACTACTAAGTATAGCGATTTGACTATTTTTATATAGAATAATATCAAATTTAACGTCAAGTCTTATCTTACTAAAAACACCACGTTAATACAAATGAAAGAAAAAAAAACCAATGAAAATATATGGTCTTACCAACCAAGATCTGCGGTACCCAGAGATTAAGGTATGAGATATCTTCACCTAAGATAAGCGGGAGTATTTATAATAATTGCCTAAGCAAAGCAGTTAGTTCATGTGTCACTATCCTATTAGCTGAAACGGTCATACAATTTACTTGGTGAGCAAGTAAATCTGGTTTATGCATAAGAATATGATATGATTTGAACCAATTAATATGCATGGGAATATGATATGATTTGAATCAAACTAGCATGATATTTAAAAAACGTAGAAAAAGATAAAAATACAGAGATATAATAAACTAAAAGATAAATTGCACATAACTCCCTCGTCTATACATTCAATAAGCTCATGTATTAGCAGTTATCCCATCTTAATTCTTAAGGGAAGAGTGCCAAGTTATAATAAATAATATAGGGGGTTAAGTACAACTAAGGATATGGATGATGATGTTATATATAAGTGATTTTAACCTAAGTTAATTATAAAATATAGTAATTTCAAAAGTATAAATTTTTTAGGACATTGACTAAATTTGAAATAACTTGACTATTACCTCAATACATATTGTCCGTTCTTATAAAAAATACACATAAAACTTAATTTTATAAACACAATATTTGTTAATGTAATTTCTGGATATGCGAATAAAATATAGCATCTTTTCCATAAAACACCAAATTGAATAAGGCATACAAATTTATGGGTGGAAATGAATCAAATAATTAACAAATAGTTCGATAATTGTTCGAGTAATTATTCAGTCAAATTCGATTTGGTACTTCATTTAACACTAAACAAATAATATTTAATATTAAAATTTATTAATTAATAGAATCTAACCAGATGCGTATTCTATTCTTTTGCTTATCAAATATTCGTTTAACATTTGATCGCATATAGCTTGTATTATTATGAATATGATGCTCTATTTTCAACTCGCTTACATTTTCTTTTTAAGTCCTATATACTAAATTTGAGAGACCTAGAGAATCTTAAATTAATTTTCTAATTAAATATTTCAATGAAATATATATACATAATAATTCTATAGTAATATTTTTTATTTATAAGTTTAAATAATATTTAAATTTTAAATTCTTTAGCAAATAAATATATTTTGATATTCGATAAATATTCGTAAATATTCATGAATATTGATCAAATATCGGGCATTCAAGTTCAAAATCGAGAAACGTGGGATGTAAATATTTGAATTGGAGTTCAAATTTGATAACTTTAAACAAATATAAATATGTACAATTTGATTTGATAGTTCACCACCACCCTATGCATCTTAAATACGAAGATGGATATATATACGTGTCGAACAACCGCTCTAAAAAGTCTGTTTGCTGTCCTAAACCTTACAGCGGATATTGTCTTTGTTCCGGACGAACCGTATTTTATCCTTGCTGCCCTCACTCTTACGTGGCGCCGCTCCGTAACGTCATCTTCTATCCTGCGTTATCCACAGAAAAAATAATATACTATAATAATACCAACGGAAGGAATTCGGCAAGCTCAAAGCACACAATAGGTATTGGGCCCCACCGAACTTGTTCTCCTGGTAAACATCATGTGGGCCCCTTGAGTTCCCTTCACTGGTCCAAATCTATGGTCCCCAAAAAAACCCTCGGCCTCACCCTTTACTTCTCTCTCCTCCCACTTCGCCTCCGCCATTTCTTCTCTCTCAAGCTCAGATTCTGTTTAGGTTTTTTATTTCACGATCAATTTCATGCTATTTTTCTCTCAAATTCTGCGATCATCTAGGGTTTCGTTTCCATCCGATGGTTTCGCGCGCCGATCCAGTGGAATCCTTCCTCCAATCCGTAAGAGATGCAATCTCCCCTCTCGAGTCAGGATTCATTCGATTCTCTAAAGATCTCGAGTCCCATTGGTCGAAGGATTCGAGGTTCGAGCCGAGGGATTTCGATTTCTTCGCTAGATCCAGTGGATCCATGGAGAGGATGGCTATCGACGCCTCGGATGAGAAGAAGAAAGGTTTTAGATCGTTGATCGGATCGATTTTCCCCAATTCGAGCAAGAAACGGGGAGTGAAGGAGGATGAAGAGGAAAGAGACGAGTCTTGTTCCAATTGCTTGCATTTTGCCGTTTCTTGGTCGATTTTTGTGAATAATTTTGTTCAGGCGTTTCCTAGTCCGTTTAAATCGAAGAAGAAAGGCTTCAGGGATCCAAATTTGCAGCAAAATGACATAAAATCTAAGCAGAGGCAAAAGGTTAAGAGATTGGATTCTAGGGATAAGGAAAGATTGTCGCTTGAATTGCTGCTGTGCCTCGCGCTCAATAATTTGGTTCAAAATCTTCAGATGTTTGATCACAGGAAGCTGATTGCAGGGATTATTAAAGGGAAGAAGGCAGAGGTCAATGGGCTTCTAGCAAATATTAGGTTTGCTAGGGTTGGAGGGGCGCCTGCTAATTTGGTTGATGCTGCTGCAGCCTCTACTGTTAGCGATGAAGGTGGGTCTAGGGTTTCTAATGAGGATAAAGAAGAAGGTGAGGTCGGTGGAGCGCAGAAGTCTGCAGGTGGGATATTGAACATTCCGTTGTCTACCGTTGAGAACTGGAAATCTACTCTGCCCAACGTATCACTTACCGAGTTGATTGAGTTCATTCCTCAGCTGGGGAAATCTTCGTCTTCAGAGCACCCTGACAAGAAGAAGCTGTTCTCTGTTCATGATTTCTTTCGGTACACTGAATGTGAAGGTATGATGTTGGTCATTTCATGTTTCTGTTAGTTCATTCATGTGGGCATCCTTGTGACGTCTCCCTCTAAGTTACTTATTGTTTTGGTGTTTATGTTGCTTATTATGTACTTCAGTGCTTGAGTTCTATAGTAATAAGCTTGCATGCACTTTTAGACACTTGTTGGTATGTGTATCACTAAACTTATAGGGCAACATTGCAAATGCATATTTTCCAAATTCATCTAGAAAATTGTGATCATGATATTATCAAAAGGGTGTCAATATCGTTGAGGCAAAATTATGGTGCACCATGCATATGTGGAGAAAGGCTATGGGTTATTTGTGACATCACTGACATGTATCGGTAAGGCAAGAGGGTTTTTTCTCAAGTTGTATTATGTGCTGCCTACTTTGGTTGATGACTGAAAAGTCTGGTTATCTTGATGATTGAAAATTTCAATTATGTTGCAGGGCGGAGGTTCTTTGAGGAATTGGATAGAGATGGTGATGGCCAAGTAACTCTTGAAGACCTTGAAGTTGCAATGAGAAATAGAAAGCTACCAAGGAAGTATGCCCGTGATCTTTTGCGCCGTACTAGGAGTAACTTATTTGCAAAATCAATTGGGTGGAAGCAATTTTTATCCTTCATGGAGCAAAAGGAACCGACCATTCTTCGAGCTTATACCACCTTGTGTTTGAGCAAGTCTGGAACCCTTAAAAAGAATCAAATATTGACATCTCTCAGAAGTGCAGGCCTTCCTGCCAATGAAGATAATGCTGTTGCTATGATGCGATATCTAAATGCGAATACAGGGCAATCTATTTCCTACAGTCATTTCCGCAATTTCATGCTTCTTCTCCCTTCAGAGCGCCTAGAAGATGATCCTCGGTAAAACAAATTTAGACTAGTTGAGCAGGTCTAATATTTACTTCTAACTGTCTGCATATCTTTCTGGTTCAACTAGATAACAGTGGAGACTTGTATCAAATTCTTGGCCTTATTATTTGATGCTTCCTATTGTAGTTAGTTTCACTTGTTTGACTTTTAGCTTATTTCACATTTTCTTATCCAATTCCTTTTTTTCAAATCTTGTCAAATTTTATTCTATATCATCTAGTATTATTGCCATCAACTGAGGATTAAGAACGAGAAAAAAGAGATAAAATGATAGAATGGCCAGTTTTCGGTCATACACTCTGCCTGACTAATAGTTCCAATATCAAAACTGATATTCATGCGTACTGTTTATTCTAACAATCTTTACTGGTAATCATACACGGACATGCACACTAATAAAAATTGCTCTGTGAATTGTATACAATCTAACTCATAGCTATGACAAGGACTATTTTCGGCATTAATAATAAATATTAGCTTAAAGAGTCAGTAAATTTGTCAAGGATATGAGACAGGTGGATGGCAAATTGTGAGATGCAGCCCACATCAGGCAAGTGATTTTGCTATCTGGGGGTTTCCAAGACCATTATGCCCTTTCGTCTATGAACTAGCTAACTTTTAGGAGATATTGGCCTTACTGGAGATGTTTATAATGTTAATGCCCAGTAAACCAACCTCGAGAAACACATTAAAGGTTTATTTCAAGACTCCACAAAAGGTCATTTATATTTATTATCCTCAGCCATCACATGTTGTTGGATTTGCTTGGTCTTCGTGTCCTCGTTTACACCTGATATGTTCTATATAATTTGTTGCTTCTTGATTTATGTCATGCTATATGAAATGATTGTATAATGTTTGTTTTCTATTCTTTTTTGTGTCTTTGTTCATACATGTTATCTTGGAGAAATTTATGGACTTAAATACTCAGTTTTATTCATATGCCAATGTTAATTTCGTATAGACACATGCTAACAGCAAATAAAGGTCTTCTGTGAACTATAAATTTGCTATTAAAATGATTTAAAAATCAACTTTGTTACCTGATACTTCTCTTCAACAACAAACAGGAGTGTATGGTTTGAAGCTGCTACTGTTGTGGCTGTGCCGCCTCCTGTGGAAATATCTGCTGGAAATGTTCTGAAATCTGCTTTGGCTGGGGGCCTTGCAAGTGCACTTTCTACATCTTTATTGCATCCTATAGATTCAATGAAGGTAAAAGCTCCTGACCCCCAATCATAAATCGTTATTGACTTAATTTATTCTTTAAGTAATTATTGGGTGGAAGCAAAATTCATACATTCATTCTGTGGATATATTAAGAGAATAAAGCACAACTTGGACCTGGTGCACTTAAATAGTGCATAGCAGGAAGAGGAAAAGGGCAGAAGAAAAACCATGCCCACTATACTTATTAACAATGTAACATTTGAACTCCCATTGAACACTGAGCCCATCATGTTTTGCTAAGATTTTTGGCCAATGTCCATGACAGAATCATTATTTTTATTTATGTTAGGATCTTGTTTTGCGTTTGATTTAACCATGTCAGACGAGAAAGGAGACAATTGTTGCCATTGATCTCACTTTACTTCTTGATGGAAAGGGAGTGGTTTAAACACAAAAATTTAATTATCTAAAGTTTTCTTTATGTATAGCCTTTAATGGACATCAGCCTTTTCATATTGACCTTGAATTGAACTGTCCAAAAGTTAGCGTCATATCATTGTCTGATGACAGCACTTTTGAGACTTAATTGTTGTGAATGATCTCACTTTATTTCTTGATCAAAAGGGAGTGGTTCCCACATATAGATATCTTCATATACGCAACTGTGCTTGTGTGAGTGTTCGTGCGTGCAGGTGACCCGTGTGTTTCGTGTGTGCTTGGATGGGGGGGGGGGTGTCTAGACATACTTTTTCTCCTCTGCATAATTTCTTTGTAGGCACTTATTCTAAGTTTTTTCTTCTAAATCTTTACATCTCATTCTCCCAGTATTTTCCATCAAAGGATGGAGTAGATTGCTTTTCAATTAACCCCTGGCATAAATGAAGTGGTTTCAGTAAAGGTCCGACCCCCCCCCCCACCCACCCAAGAAAAAAAGGAAAAGGAAAAAGAACACAAAAAATAAAGAAAAGAAAAATGAAAAAGTAGGGTCATATTTTGTGGACCTAAGTTTGACACTGCACGAGTGTCCTACAAAGTCATGCTCAATATGTGTTTGAAACTCGTTACTTGCGGCGCCTAACATATGATCAGAGAACACAAACAAAGACTTGCGGGATGGGGGATTTCGTTAAAGGTAATGGACAGTATTAGGAAACTAAACTTAGTGAGAAGATTTACTTCAAGAAATGACATAGGGTACCAACTAATAAAGTAGGCAGCAGTAAAAACTGCATTGATCCGAAAACATTTAGGGACATCAATATACAAGGAAGAGCACATGCAACTTTGAGGAAATGATATTTTTACCATATCAACTTTGAATGTGAGCAGAATGTTTTAAGTAATTAGTCCATAATCTTAAAAATTACAGAGGAGAATATTTAACAAAGTTAGAAGAAATCCATCATCAATTGGAGTGCTGGATTTCAATTTCCTAAAAAACATAGCGTCAGATGATGTAAACAGTAAACACATGCTAATTTAGACTTTGTTTTTGGAAATTCTGCATCCAAAATTTGTGCTGTTATTTCTATTCTCTGGTTTTCTGTTGAAGCTAAATTTTTTTACAGTGCATTATTGCATGCAATACATTCGATTAGCCTGATTGGACCTTAGATGTTTTTGTCACTGCTGATACTTCACAGATGATGGAAACCAAATTACTATGTCTAGTCCAACGTGTAAATTCAGTTAAGATCTACATATATATGCTAATGTTTCTTGAGGGAAGATAAAAGTTCTAGGGTTTTGCTGCTGAAACTTGTTTAGGTGCTCTGTACACTTTTGATGTATAGCATTTTAAAGCTAATTTAGCTGTAGAATTTTTTTGTTCCAACTAGTCCAGCTGTAGGAATTTTTTGTTCCGAGTAGTCTTCTTGATAAAGGTTTCATGCTATATCAGACACGTGTACAAGCATCAACACTTTCATTTCCAGAACTTATCTCAAAGCTTCCAGAGATTGGGGTGAGAGGCTTGTACAGAGGTTCTATTCCAGCAATTCTAGGACAATTTTCTAGGTTAGTATTCTTGTGCCGAACTGCTGTTCCTTTGATCTGCTTAATCAATCTGCATGATTCTTATTTTCATTGACAGCCATGGATTACGTACTGGCATCTTTGAAGCAAGCAAGCTTGTTCTTATAAATGTTGCTCCAACGCTTCCGGAGCTTCAGGTAATTGAACTAACCTGTTTGTTTTATATCTATGCCTTGTCTTTTATGTAAGTTGGAATTATAAACTATGGTTTACTTATCTTAATATCATGCAAGCAAGCAAGCTTGGTCATAAAAGTAGGCTATGAAGTTTACTTAAGTGAATTACATAGATGATGCTTTGTTAATTTCCTCTTTTAATGTTCTGAAAATTCTACATTCTGATAGTTGTTTTCTACACTTCATTTAAAATATTTAAAATCTTAACAGTAGATATATGCATCTTTATTTAATTCTCCGTTAAAATTATAAAATGAGAAACTGGTACAATTCATGGTTGTGAGGCTTTAATTATTTTAGGAATTGAGACAAACTTCGTAGTCCTACTCTTTTCAGTTTCTTTATATGTGGAAATTTATCACTGTTATTTTGTTCCTTTCTGATCATTCAAAATTACTAGTAGATACAAAAAAATGAGAAATATAAGTTCTTATGTAGGTGCAATCTATGGCATCCTTCTGCAGCACAATCCTTGGAACAGCAGTCCGAATTCCGTGCGAGGTCCTGAAGCAACGATTACAGGCAGGCATTTTTGACAATGTAGGAGAGGCTATTGTGGGGACTCTGCGGCAGGATGGCTTAAAGGGTTTCTTTCGTGGCACCGGTGCCACACTTTGCCGAGAGGTTCCATTCTATGTTGCCGGCATGTGTCTATATGCAGAATCGAAAAAGGTAGGTTCTATTGTATTTGAACTCTGAAGCAATACAGATGGTCTTGGCAAGAATTCAGGCCCTTGCAGTTCTGGGTTTTGATACTTGACCTCCTTTTTCTTTAAAAAACTTATGTACAAATGTGAGATTTGCATATTCTGAAAACAATCAGTGGAAAGAGGGCCTTATGCCGCATGATGTAAGCATAGGGCGATAAGTATTAGGGAGGGGTCCTAGTAAAAGAAATGGAAACAGCAAGTATTTTCAGTATTTTCTTAGAAAAATGTGTGCTAGTACAGAACCAGGCATGGGTGAGCCTTAGGTTTTTATGGAATGCAATATGGTTGAAGCTCTTAGATTCGATGTTATTTAAAGCGCTAAGCGTTTCTAGGCATCAGACCTAGCTTCCAGGCACCTAGGTTGATGTTTAAGTGGCACATAGACGTTCTTAACATCGAAAGAGGAAGTATCGTTTTCATAGTTTCAAATCATATCCTGACTGTTTAGATTTGGACATAAGAGTTTTGTTCTCCGGTATATTTGAACCTGGCTGACTCTCTTTAACCATTACTATGTATAAATGAGCAATATATCGTATAGTCCGCGTAAGCACCCCGTTCTCCCCTAGGTGCCCCTCAAGACTTAAGATGGGCGGCCTAGGTACTGCTTTGGTTTAAGCGGTCACCTAGGCGGGTACCCAGGCCGCTTTTTAAAACAATGCTTAGATTTCAGTAAGGGGGAAATGGACGTTCTTCACTCACGGTGCGCAAGAAGGGAAAAATTTAGAAAAGGAACATGCAGCATAGAGAAGAGAATAGAAGACAAGACAAGGGGAGAGGGAACATTATTAGACACGATTCACACATTATTCGTAACCAATCGACATCCATGAGTTATAACTGTCAGGCATCTAAATGCTTTTGCAACAAAATATGAGTTATATGGTAAGCTACCTAAATATCTTAAGCCACTGCAGTTGGGAGCTCTTAGAGAGTGGGGAAAAGAAAGGATGTGTAGATGTGCTTTCCTTTTTTTTTTTGCCATCGCCATCCGAAGTGATCCCCATACTCGGCGTTGCATCCCGCTCCATCACAGTCCATTGTTCCATTCTCGTTGTCGATGTTGCCTACTACTCCATTGCCGTGGAAGGCGCCATCTCCGTTGCCGAGGCTACCTCCTAGACCATTGACATCGAAGACGTCATTTCCATCATCGACACTGCGTCAAACTCCATTGTAGCAGAGGCGCCATTTCCATCATCACTGGCATGCCATATGACGACCTATTAGAATAACTGTAGCCTGGTCTACTCTTGGTCTGATCTATTTATACTTGTCAATATCAGTATTTCTCCACGAAAACTTATTCCCTTGTGGACCCCGCAAGAAGCGCCTATAAGGACCAAAGTTTCTTGAAGGTTACACGATGTAAATCAAAAGCAAATCCAAATATGAGGGAAAGGATTCTCTCAACGCATTTATGTGATATACTGAAATACAGAAAAACTTCATATAATTAAGTAATTAACCTTGTCGTACACTGTCCAGATACATGTGTAAAACTAATATCCGAGCAAGCATAGATCTGCACATATTTATGCCCTGTTATTTTGTTGCACCTTGTGTATTTGCAATTTACACCTTCCCACAACATGTTTGCCTGAGCATGAAGGTATTACATGTGCATGCAGTTCTTTAATGAAATTATTTTATGTGATGGCGACTTCCATCTTATCAAAGTTGTAATTAATTTTTTTTAAAGTTTTTATGACAAAAGTATATCTACTTTAATTATTATTCCATTATTGCTGAAAGAATGTTTGAAATTTCAAATAAATTGCACCTTCCTGATGTTTTATTATTATATATTTATTTTTCTTGTTTTAAATCTTTTCCCCCTCTTTGGAACTTGTCTGCGCATGTTTTTGAAGGATTTTTTTATATTGGAATTACAGAGTGAGAAAGATCACGTCTTTGACCTTTGTACTTGAAAATTCATTACTTCCATGTGCCTTATTAGAATGTGTTTTAAATTATAGTATTTAAACGCTTTAATTTATTATTGTTTTCCTTTCTAATTATACTTATCCTTTCCTAGGCTTTCTATCATACAATATTTGCCTAAATAAAGGGAATTGCCTCCTCCCATGATCGATGAGCAACAAGAGATTTCTTTACTTAGATAAATGCTACATGAATACAAAATGTAATTTGATAAAAAATTTCAATTATTGTTTTAGGGTGTCCAGAGCCTTCTCAACCGCGAGCTAGAACCTTGGGAAACAATCGCTGTAGGAGCTCTCTCGGGTGGTCTTGCAGCTGTTGTCACAACCCCGTTCGATGTGATGAAAACAAGAATGATGACTGCTCCACAAGGACTTCCAGTTTCAATGCAAATGGTAGCCTTTACAATCCTTCGACAAGAGGGTCCGCTAGGCCTCTTTAAAGGAGCAGTTCCTCGCTTCTTCTGGATTGCTCCTCTTGGAGCTATGAACTTTGCTGGGTATGAGCTTGCAAAGAAAGCAATGGAGAAGTCTGAGCATAATGACCAGCTTCAGCAGTGAACAGTTTGTTTTTTTTTGGAGGATGCACATACTTCTTTTTTCAGGGTGAATATGTGATGAAAGATCGGTAAAAATGTGTCGACATGGCTCGAATCTGCTTCAAGTTCATGAGCAGAAGATGTTTAATTTTGTGTACATATACAGCGTGTGCAGTTGGTTAAACTGTGCAGTTTTGATGTTTCGGTCAGCTGCTGCTGCTTTAGGAGTCTTCTTTTCGCAATTTGTTGTGAATTTTTATGATAAAATTTTCTTGTTTGAACTATTTACTAGCAGGAGGTAAATTGGTTTAAATAAACTGAGTTTGCCAGTTAATTTGGCCTCTTTTTGGATTAATGTTTTAATCCTAAGTTTTCGTTGCGGTGTATGAATCCAATGATTGACTTTCCATAGTCCAAAGGATCCTGACATTTAACACAAATTAAAACACAAATACACCATCTTAATTTAACACAAATTAAAACACAAATCCAATGATTGACTTTCCATAATGTTTGGATCAGTGGACTAATCATATCTTGCTGTTTTGAAAATTTGTCCCATATATGGAAGTTACATCCAAAGCAATGCTTTGCAATGACACGAGGACTGTTACTTCCATATAATCATTATCTCTAAACATCTTTTCATCACGTAGAGAACTCTGAAGAACTCCTTGCTGTCTGTACAATAAACGACTTTGATTGGGAAAAGGACTCCTTGCAGTCTTTACCGTAGAGAACTCTGAAAACTTGGAAGTCAATTACAGAAACACTAGGATTAGGAGTTGTAATTGACCATGAGTTCTCAAAGGGTTCATATGACGTTGGCCTATAAATTAATAAGCCATGACCCCCTGAAATTAACTCTGAACCAAAACAACATGGCCTCCTCGTCTAATATTCTTCGAGTTTCTGTCGTAGTCTTGTTCCTTTGTCTGGGAAAAACCTTTGCTTATTGGTCGATATTCGACGACTTACTGAAGACGAGCCACCGCCACCATCGTCACCACCACCGGTCACCAACACCAACCACTCACCATGCACCGGTACCGATGGCCTGGAGCCGCACCCATCTCAGTTCCTGGCCGGCACCCAGCTCCCCCACCGAAGCCTATCCATCCCATGCGTCGTGCAAGTGCCATCATCGTCGACCTTGCATCTACTCCGCCCCACGGCTAGCCCGCGTCCTCTGCGCGTTGAACCGTTAGCATCCCGATCAGAACCGTCGCAGGGCGGCCTCTAAGTGACCCAGCCCTGCGTCCGTCCCCGAAGGCCATCCGTTGTTGCCTCCTGCTCATCGCCATCCGTCGCTGACCGACCTGCTCGTCCCCGAAGGCCACGCATCGTCCGGCTCCAGCTCATGCACGCGGTCGTGACCCGCCCTGCTCCGTCCCGAGACCCATCGCCGTCGTCGCTCCTGCTCATCGCGTATCGAGGTTGCTCCAACCCGCACCGGGCCGCTGCTTCCACGGCCCATCTCTAAACGGCCCCAATCACCGTCATGCACGACTCGCCTGCGCTCCGCTGAAGGCGCCGTTCGCCGCATCACACCGTCCCACACGCCGTCGCCGTCACCGCCGTCCCCGCCTAACGTCTCGGTTAACCTCAACATCACATTCGTTTGCACTCTGCTCCCCAAGGCCGTCAAGGACATCTTCCCCGGTTGTGTAGCTTCACCTGACCCAGCTCCAGCTCCAGCTCCGACGCAATCTCGTGAAGCTTCTCCCCCGCAAACCTCTGCTCCACCATCGCGACCACCATCACCAGCACCGGCACCGTGGTCGCCGGGATCTCAGGCAGATGCTGATACTAGTAACAAGGTCTCAGTAGCCAAATTTGCTATTGCAGTTGGCTTGGTGGCGTTGTTAGTGTTGCTCTCGGTCGGCTTAATATCGCTTCTCCTCGGACTACTCTGCTTTCTTCTTCGAAGTTAGATTTGCTTAGCGAGGACAAAATTCTCGTGAACTTTTTGTAGTATTCCTTTCTCTTGTCAATGCGGTTGGTTTTTCTTCTTTTTTGTTTTTTCTTTTTCCTCCTCCTTTAATCTTTTCCTTTTGTGAGGGAGCAAAAAGGATATTATTTAGCTTGCTTTTATTTTTAATAAAGTTTACAGATTAGTGCAACTTATTTATCTTCGTTTTGAATATAAAATTACTGAACTATGGTGAAAAACTATAAATACATCTGGCACTGATATTTTTGTTTTGCTAAGTAAATAAATAAATTTATTTATGTTCAATTTTCAATCGTTAGACTCAAAAAAGCTAAATATATCAATTAGTTGTAGAATTGAAGTTAATAATAAGGGGGGTGGAAAACGTTTTTCCTAGTTTATTTATGCTTTTTTTTTCTCTCGCTTTCATCTACTGTATGAAAATCTTTTAGATAAATGTACTCTGTAGGTACCTGAAATATATATATACTGCAACTTGCAAAGTATATATATATATATATACACATAAATTTTCATCAAAGTGACTCTTAACATGTCATGATCCAAGTAAACATAGCCGTGATGGTTTTAAAGATAGAAAGAATTACATAGTCCCAGATCACTGTATCAATAGTGCATGTTTCAATTTACCAAAAAATAAAGTAAAATAAGTTATAGTGCACGTTTCACAGAAGAACAATGTTTGGACCAGTGGACTAATCATATCTTGCTGTTTGTATGACCTGTCTGCAGTCACTTTCACGCTAATTAACGGCAATTTGATGGTATATAAGCATTCTCCACAATTGCTCCATACATACATACATACGTACATACAACCTGTCATAAGTCTTATGGAGCGATACCAAAATCTCGACCAGGTTCGATCGGTTTTTGAATTGTGTCTTAGTTTGATTCCGGTTAAAAAAAACTTGTTAAATCTCCTGTGTCAAACTGGTAATTGCCTTGGCAGGGCATGGAACAATAAGAAGAGGAAAAACTAACCGGTACATGAAATACTTAAACCCGAAAAAATACCTTCTCAGTATTCCTAATTTTTCACTTCATTTGAATCATGTGAATTTTTATTATCATTAATAGAACAAATACACGATTTCCGTCCAAATACGGCGACGTCGCATAATGATTTTGGTCATAAATATCCTACTGATGGCTGAGCAGATGGTTTCGACCGTGTAGTGATAGCTTCTTCCTTGCTCTCATGATATTTTTCTAGATACGGTGGTCTTTCTTTTCCAGGTAACCAATTGTTTTATTTTTACATCCAGGATGTATCAGTATAAAGGTTTTCTAAGTTTATTAGTGGAGTAAAAAGTAAAAGTAAAAACATATTTTTCTACTCCTGTACTAGAAGGGTAAAAGATCTGATGCACGTACAGGTGTCCCACAACCCAAAAAATCCTACAAAATGTTTGCACAACGGAAAATCTTCACTAGATAATGGGGAAAAAATAAATAAATTCCGTGAATCTCAAGATGTAGATAGAAAAATGTGAAGTAGTAGAGGGAAAAGTATCTCTTCAGAGGAAAAAAAAAACAAATTTCCTCATGCACGAGAAACTGCCTTTCTTTTATTTGAGCCGGCAGGTTTCCCAGGGCAACTAATTCCATCGAATTCCACTGCCAAATTCTAAGAAATTAATTGTGTTTTAATTATAGGAAAATCTCAAGAGTAAATGTCAATCTCGATCAAACTTATTAACCTAATAACCCAAAAGTCGACGCATGAAATTATTAAACAAAAGCATACCAGCAAGAACATTGAAGTTAATGATGGAAGAATATGAGAGGATATATAACTCACATAATGTTATGGATTACAAACATAAGCTAGCTAACAACAATTCTAGAAATGTAAGGTGGCAACAAGAGGATAAATAGAAGGGAAAAGCATTTTTGTGCAAATTAAGTGACAAGATGTATTAAGTAATTAACGAAGAAAAATATAGTAACAAAATTACAAATTTTTTTTTATTGCATTAACCTACGAATGAGAAACTCTTGACGTGCTAAACGATAATAACTATGGTGTTTTTCTTGTTGTGTTTTTGTAAAAAAACACCATGGTGTTGTGTTTTCCCTTAAAATATTTTCAAAACATCATGTTAAGTATTTTTTATCAACACTAATTTGACCCATTATAACATTAGTATTAAACATATTATTAATATATTATATATTAATTATAATAAATATATTATAAATAAAATGTTATAATATTTAGTTTATATTATTATAGTATTATAAAATATTTTAATATTATATAATATATTATAGTTTTTAATATGTTAGAGTTTATTAATAGTACTTTAATAATATATTTGTATTTATGATATTAATAAATATTATTATATTATGAATATATTATTTTTACATTAATATTTGTTAGTAATAAATTATTTTATTATTAAAAGCTATTTTACTTTATAATAAATTATATTATTTCTTACATAGTATATTAATATTTTATATATTATATTACATTTACTATACAATATGTTATTATAATATTATTTTTATATTGTTATGTTATTATTAAATATGTTACTATTATGTAATATTTTATAATTATAAATTTATTACAATTTATTTATTAAAAAGTTAATCATATTATAGAGATGATATTATTGTATAGTATATTATTATATATTTTTTATCAATAACTTTGTTATTATTATTTATTAATTTATTTATATTTTATAATAATATTTTTTATATTGTACATTATTAACAAATTAAATATTAGTATTTAATATGTTATTATATTATTATATAAGATATTTTATTTATTATAGTTTTATATCATTTAATAAATATTACTAATATATTAAATTAACTATAATATAGTATAGTATATAGTATAATATAATAAGCATGTTGATAATAACTCTGTGTTAATTACATTTAATATAATATGTTAGATATTATATTAACATCTTCTCAAACTCAAACCAAAACATCAAACTTAAAACACCTAAAAGGTGTTTTGAAATAAGAATTATGTTTTTGGTTTGCGGATGATTTAGCTCAAAAAACACCATGGTTTTTAAACACATTGTGTTTTATTTTCGGCAAAAACACCATGAAACAAGTAAAACACTATGATATCCAAGCAGAGCCTAAATAATAACAATCATAAATCTTCTTTCCATTCGAATTTTCTGATTTATATAATAGGCAAAAGGTGTCTTGATGTTTCAAGTGTGCACTGGAGAAACTACGTAAAATTAGTATAAATTAAGAAATCACCAACATTACGGTCTTCACCCTCAAGAAAAATTGTAGGGGTTTTCATCTTTAAACCCAAATGTTTTCCCCTCTTATTTATTTATCCGGAAGCCAGGAGGATTCGCTGATCTGAACCTGACCCGAAAGCTAGGGTTTGGGTCTATGGGACCGTTGTCAGGTTGGGTTTGGGTAGGGGTCCAAACGGATAGGGTACGGACCAAATATTGATCTTATTACATTTGTACTTTGCTCTCTGACCATCTATCTATCTTGTATTGGACAAATTTTCAAAACCAACCCATTTGGGTTTTTAATTGCAAAAAACGACCCATTTTTATTTTAATTATAAAAACCGACCCAGTTGGTTGAAACTGGGCCGGTTTTTGAAATTTTTTTCCCAAACTTCACGGGAGTTCAACTCCCGTGAAGTTTTGTTATGAGAAAAAACTTCACGGGAGTTCAACTCCCGTGAAGTTTCCCGAAAAAATTTTAAAAAACCGACCTGTTTTCAGCCCCTGGCTGAAAACAGGTCGGTTTTTGTAAATATTTTCAAAACCGGTCGTTTTTTGCAATTAAAAACCCAAATGGGTCGGCTTTGAAAATTTGTCCATCTTGTATTAGAGTATACATTAAAGCAAAACCAAATGATCTCAAACACACTAAAGCTTTATATGTCAATACTTTGGCCCATCTAATTTTTGACACGTGGACTTCTTAATCAGCGGTTTATTTTGTCAAGTGCAAATCCTAGCCATTAATCTAATACTAAATCAAGCAGATTTATTAATGTGTAATTTTTGAATAAATTTAAGGCTCTTTATCTTATCATATGTGATTCTTATGCAACATATTTCTAATTTTCAGTTACCAAGTTTCGTAAATTATTGGAAATTTGAAAAACTAAAGGGAAATGATAAGTTCGGTGATTTTTATTATTATTTTGGTTAATGATTTTTGTGAAAAAGATCCCAAAGATTTTAGCAATTATTGTTTATGGTTATGCTAATGTTGGTTATATTTTGTTCGATATCACATATGTAACCTTGACATTTTATGGTTTTTTTCACCTATAGTTATTTATGAGATTTGATGTTATACTCTTTTGGCTCTTGTGAAATGCCATGTTAAATCTATTAGACTTCATCTAATAGATTTGAATGGTTTCAAAATCAATTTTTCACGTAATAGGGCCATTAAGCCCCCATTATGGAGCGAATTAAGGGGTCAGTTACACCCCTTAAACCCTATAAATAGCTGGTTTTACAGCTGAAAAAGGGTAAGATCCTTTTGGATCATCTTGTATGGTTGGTTTTTGTTGAAGCTTTGGAGATCATTTGGCTTGGTTTTTTTGAACCATTTTCGGTTGAAGAACTTTGAAATCAGCTGTTTAGCTTATTTCGGTTGAAAATAATTAAATTTTCTTTCTGAAATTAACTTTTTCGTAGAGTTCTAAACTTGCATGGCAAGTTCTTCCCGACGTTAAGTCAAGAAGAGTAGACAAAGTTTCATGAAGCGATGCATTCGGATCGTCAACGTGATACAAAAATCAAACTCCCATTGTCACTAAGAAGAACCCAGCCTTAAACAAAGATGGGGGTCCGACCTTCTCTCTTTTGTAAATCAGGGAACCGATAAAGAAAATTGTAATTTCTTTTTTCTAAGTCAATTAGAGAGAAGTTACTTGGAGAGATTGTATTCATTTTTTCCCTAAGTCAGTTAGGGAGATTAATACAAATTTATTTCTTAATTTTCTTGCAATTTCCCCAACAAACAGTAACCAATACATGTTAGTTTTATAAGAACCCTTGTTTAGATTGTAATTGAAGTAGAAGATGTAACTAGTGTATACACCACACTCAAATTACCTCACCATGATATATCTCACAATGCTGAACATTTTAATAATCATTTTCCTTTAAAAAACGAGCAACATGAGATAAATGTGACGCGTGGTTAAAGAAAATCTAATATCATATATAATGTATACCTTATAATTGAGATACTGAGTTTAATTGTAGCTAGATCCTCATTTAATATCGCCCAATTACAAACAGACACATTGTACTCTTACTGAGAGCCAATTTCCTCTTCTATAAGGAAAATTGAAAAAAAAAAAATAGCGAAAACCAACTGGTTTATATGCAACAATAGAGCTATGAGGTTTCATTGGCAATTAAGAAACGGTACAAGGGTTAAGAGTGTCCCCCATAATTAACCCAATAATATTTAAGCTAAGAAGACAGCACAAGGGTCAAGAGTGTGCCCTCAATTAACCCAATAACATTTTAACCCAATAATATTTTAACCCAAATAATATTTGAGGTAAGAAACATATGACCGTTAACATGAACCGTATCGAGTTTAATCATAACCTATGTGAAAATAATAGCTTGATAATCTTGTAAATAAGACACCAAAAGAGTTTTAAAGAATTTGGACTCCACCCAGACTTTGATCTTAGAACGCATTGAGAAATTTATTTCGTTCATACTCATGTGAAAAGCTAAGATTTTATCTACAAATAATCAAAACTAGCCTCAAATTAATCCAATGGTCAAAACAATTTCAATTATATTGCCGATATATATTCGATATGGATCCAAACACACTTATATTGCATATGTACTCCTATTCATATCTTATCAGATAAAATATTATATCAGTAACCATTTTGTATCCCTAATTTGGAAACAATATATGGATCGTTTTGTTAATGAATTTTTGAGGGAAATATGACAGTATCCTAACCTAACGATGCTAATGAATTAGTCAAAAAAAAAAAAAAAGCTGTGGTTTAGCCAATACTCAAAAAAAATAAAAATAAATTTTTTTGATAAGCCTTCATAATTGTTTAAGTTGCGAAAGAGATCTTTAATATAGATGAGTTGGATTTAACAGTAAACTGTAGAAAAAACATTAATACATCAAAGTTGAAAAAATTAGGTTATTTTTGGGGGTAAATTTAAACATTTTATTACATCAAAGTTAAAAAATGGTAAAACTCTAGGGTATTAAATTGCAACCAAACCATTTGTAGGGACCAATGTATAACAAAATATGCTATATTATTGACTTATGGGCTGTTTGGTTGCACACTTTTTGAGAAAACTTTTCTCAAAACATCTGAAAATGGTAAATTTGTAATTAAAAGTTTTCTAGAGATTTCTGTAAATTATGTTTGGTTCTACAAAAAATTTACAGAAATATTTTCTATAAAATATCAAAACCTACCAAATTTTACAAAAAGCAATTTCCTCTCAAAATGAGAGGAAATCACCAGAAATCTGACACATACCATATTTAATTAAAAACCTACCAAATCTTGTTATTTTCTATAAAGTTATGAGTTATTTTCTTGTTTTGAACCAAACAAGCAAAGTAAAAAAAACAAGAAAATTGGTACTTTTTGATTTCTCAAAACTTTTCCTATAATTTTTTTAAGAAATACAAGGAAATCATATTTTAGGTGGAAAATATTTCCTATAATTTCTAGAAATTGAACCAAACACCCCCTTAGTCAATGGAGTGGGTTATCAGAAATCTTGTTGACCAAGCTGTACACATTTCCCCAAAATCAATCTATAAATATGGAGAATTTTTTAAAAAAAGACCATTTTAGAAAAAATATTACCAAAATCGATATTTTTTGAGAATATTTAGCAAAATAGAATTTTTTTTAGCCTTGTCATCTCAGCTAGCCAAAAAAAGATTGATTTTTTAAAATACACGGGGACTAATAGTCTCGTGTAATTAATGGTTAATTTGAAATAATAATCCGGTGTACTTTGTATTGAAATGACTAATATTTAATTAACGAGAACTAAGTACATATGACTACTAGTTTCGTGTAATTTAAAATTGATATTTTACAAAAGTGATATCGTTTTAGCCTAGTGGCCAAAGAAAGATCGATTTTGTAAATATTTCACAAAAAGATTGATTTTGCCAATTATTTTGAAAAAGAACAAAATTTCAAAACAGCCCCAAAAAGATTTTTATTTTTCAAAATCGAACCGATTTTTTTTAATTTATCAAAATCGACCCACTTTTTGTCACGTGGGCTTAATAAAATTCCTAAACAGTCGGAGTTACCAACCCCGACTGTTTAGGAACATCATTAAGCCCACGTGGCAAAAAATAAGTCGATTTTGATAAAAAAAAGGGTCGATTTTGAAAAATAAAAACTTTTTGGGGCTGTTTTGAAAAATTCCTCTTTTGAAAAAGGTATTTAAAAAAAATTCTCCTAAAAATATTTACGCGTTAACACACCGGACTTGAAGCGGCCGCAACAAACCGGATTGAACCGGCGCGTCACAAGTCCGCAGGAGCAGCCATTTTAGCACTAACCAAATACAAGAAAAAAAAACAACAATTAAAAGCAGCGGAGGAGAGAGAAACGAGAGAGAGAGAGAGAAGCTAGATTACGCAAGAGCGCATGGATTTGATCGATCATCGCTCCCTCTCGTAGCGCCTTCCCCTAGGGTTTTCGTCGGGCCTCGAGATCTCAGTATCCGATCGGATTCGATCCTTTTTGAGACGGCGGCGGGTGTTAATTTAGGGTTTTTTTGGTTAAATTCTCCATCGTCGGGGAGATGGAATCGGCGCCCACTGTTAAGGTACATCTCTTTAAACCTATCGATTTCCCTTTTGTTTTGTTTTTTTTGTTAATTTGCGCTAATTAGTGTTTTTTTGGGAATTTTGATATATGTATTTTTTAAAATTTAGTTTTGTAAGTGTTTCACACTTGAACTAGGTCTTGGTTAGTTAACAATTCTAATGGATCGAAGATTAGAATTTAAAGTTAAGCAGAAAATGCTGAAAAAGATTAAGCCTTGTTGAATGCATGATGAAATTCGGATAATTGAATGGTTTTAGTATTTTAAAATACATTTATGGTGTATTTATGCCCTTCATTTTGCTTGGGTTGCAATGAGGGCACATATGTATAAGCAAACTTGCAATTATGGGATTTTCGGATTAGACGAAAATGGTCGATTGCTAAGTTAAGGAGGTGGTACTTAAAGAGCTGAATGTAGAAATAAGATTCTGGTTGTGGCCCCAAAAGCTTGGGATACATATTACGATTGTTTTGATGGCGAATGATAGTAGAGAGACCCGTTATAGGGGAGAAGGGAAAGGGTGACAATTTTTTTTTGGGGGGTAGGGGTTGTGTTACAGACAAAACATGCAATGAAGAAGATTATGTAGAACACAATGAATGAAACTAAGAATGCGACTGTTTTGGGGGTATGCACCCAATATAAGAAGATAACGCTCATTTAACACTCGTATAATAAATTCAGCTGCTGGTAACATAGCACAATATTCAGCAAACAAAATAAAAATTTTCGGATAGTCTGCAGACGTCCTGGAAAGTGAACCAATCTGGATATATTTAATTTATCCAATTTTTACGGAATTATATGAAAGTATGAGGCTAATTATTCTTAAAATCAATGTTCTGACTGCAATGTGAATTGAACTAGCAACTCCACATTGTTTTCACCTGGCAACTGTGGCTTTCATTTCCTCTGTATAAATATGCGTTGTTTTAAACATGACAAGTAGTGATTAATTTTATTAGACTGTAGCACCTAACTATTGACAAAATTTTCCTCATTAACCAGCCTTTGTCAGTTCCAACATTTTGACCTTGCTAAATTATTCCCGTGTCAATGACTCAGCATGCCTTAATGAGTCTTTGTATAAATCTTTTTAAAATATCAAATTGTTTCCTTCTATTATTATTGCTTTATTGCTTGAGAATCTCCAATATGATTAATGCTGTTTGACACTTCATTTGACCATTGAAAATAGTTGTTTATAATAAATCTTTTGCTAAAAAGGAAAAAATTAGAAATTCTTTTAGCACACTCATCTCCATTAGTTAAAGAAAAAATTTCTTTTTAATTTTATTTGGACCATTTAAAGTAAATGGTATTGCAATATAATTTTCTTTTCAAGGAGACATCACTACTCCATGTTCCTTAAAAGTTACAATAGATTTTTTTTTGGTATTTTGACCTTCCACAACACAAGAATGCTTTACTAGTACTTATTCTTTCTTATAATTTTCTGTTGCCGATATAATTTTTAGTTCCTTAATTGTCTTGATTTTTTTTGAAGATTCTCCTATTACATGGACTCACAATTGTAAAATCTGAAGCTGTGTTTTTCAAACCTTACTATTCTTACATTTTTTGGTTGAACTTGCCTTCTTTGCAGGACAAGTTGGCGTACTTCAGAATAAAAGAGCTTAAAGATGTCCTGACGCAACTTGGACTTCCAAAACAAGGGAAGAAACAGGTCAGTAGTTGGAAATCCTTTATTTTTCTACTGTAATAATGTGTAAGTCCCTTGAGCTGTATGGATCCTCTTGTTGACTTGCTAATTTTTCCCCTGAGTACGCACAGCCCTATGAGATCCTAACTTTTTTTATTTTGTAGTAATAATATTTGGTGAGATACTACTGTTTATGCTTGAATGTTTTCCTTTTATCTAAAAGCTATTCAGATAATAACATGATATCGAATTGCATATTCTATGCTGGGCAACATATAGCAAGGAAATGAAATAACTGTTGAGTTATCTGTTGATCTTCCTACAACTGATTTTAAATATCTGTTCCCAACCTATTTATGATGCAAAGGCGTATACACACACACACACACACACCCCCCCCCCACAAATTCTGTAATCTAAGATGTGAACATTAGGATTGGTTGACGCAAGGTCATCAATATTAAGTTTGAGGTTTCAAGAAAGTGATTTACTCTTATAAAGAACATGAGGATCCAATATACTACAAAACAAGCATGGTTGGTTGGGGTATTTGTGCTGGGTGAAGCAAGTCAGTGTTAAGAAGTCCATTCATATTAAGCGGTAATTCTGTGAGAATATACAATGTATCAAAGGTCATCTAGAAAGTGTATTTGCTGTTGAAAGGCCATTTAGCTGACCCTAAACATTTGTGATTAAAGCTTTGTTGTTGTTGTTGAAAGGCCATTTAGAAAATGTATTTGTTTTGTGCTCTGAACTGTATAACAGAGTTTTGAGAGGGGTTTGAATTCAGATCTATAATTTATTAACTGATTGTGTCCTGTGTTTTGAGGTTCTTTACATAACTTTGATCAATAATATCCATTTACCCTCCCTTATCTTCCTTGACCTAGGTGTTTTAGTCTTTTAGAGCCAGAACCAGACATCAATAGAAAAAGCAGCACTAAACCTCGAGTGTAGCAAGTCACTGTTAACACCAACATCAAATGATTGTTAGAACCTAGAAGAATTAATTATTTAGCAACAGGGAAGCACAACTTAAGACCTTTCACATCTTTTATTTTAACCGACGTAGGAATGTCTGAGAAACAGAAAGGTTTGAGTAATGAAATGATAGACTATTTTCATAAACGTACTGCTCAAGGTTTTCCACTTCATTCCCTTTACATAGACAGTATAAGGTGATGTGCTGAATCTTTTTTTTTTTTACTTTTTAGATGTATGATTCCATTTTGCGAGTTGTTTTACCTATTTGTAATAGCAATGGTTTATGGCCAATTTCTTATAGTCATTCCACTATAAAGTGTTTGTTCAAGCCGTTAACTGAGAACAATGATTCTTCTGTGTTAACTACACACTTGATAAACATTAATATCATAATGCCTAGTTACCACCCTCACTTGTACATCAGTGTGAGAATAGAAGGAAGAGAAATAAACAACAAACATGAGAAAGTATTTTAGAGATCAGAAAGAGTGGAAATGAAGTTTAAAAAGGAAAATAGGGATGGGAACAATAAACATTAAGAAAAATTGAATTGAGGGTTAAAAGGGAACAAATACAATCGATTCTTAAGTGTGATGGACACCTATGTGAGGGGTAGTTTTTGTCAGAAAAATACCGGGGAGAACATGGGCTTTGTAGGTGGTTATGGAATAGCTATAAGTAACATAGGTATAACAATGGAAGAAAGTGTGTAATAGTGAGCTTCTAAGAAGCATGGATGAGAGCACAAGACACAAGTATGAAATAGGCACCGGGATATAAACACAGGAAGAACAGTTCCTTAGCAAGCAAGAAATGGAGACATGACGACATCAATTTACGTGCATAAATACATACATTGATCTCTTGTGCATCCAAATGTCATGCAATTATTTTTAAAGATACACAAATTACGTATATGCTATGCTACATGCGTACTTCTTTCATGATGTCATACCTATACTCGACACTTGCTGGACTCTCCTTAGATGTATGCATACATCTATTCCGATGTGTGCTCAATTATACAATACATGTTTTAGTTTATAACATTCGTCATATACTTGTTGGGCATATGTCCTACACGTCACATCTATTTTTAAAAACTATTTGGACAATGATCGAGTTCATTTCAGCCTTGAGAACTGCAATTTCAAAGGGTTGTTTGCTTATCTAGCTTAGAACTATGATTATAGCTCATGTATTTCAGTTATGTCCTCGTACAACACCTATTACAAATTTGTCATGCCCCTTGTACGCGCACCCTACCCGTACCTGTATTCATGCAACTTCACATACATGTTAAAATGTTGATTAATAATCTATTATATACTTTAATGACTTTGCAAAAGAAGTAAACCTTGATTCTTCAGTTTCCTATAGTGTACATAGACATATCATTATTATAGTTAATCAATTCCATATTTTGGTGTTCTTTCTTCACCAAAGTATAATCTTTGATGAACAAATGACACAATAATTATCTCAAATATGCAATATGAACAAGGATGGGTGTGAGAAGTGTAAGATGTGTTGAAAAGTATCTGCAAGGTGCCCTAAACTGCTAATTGAGGGCACATTTTAAAGCTCCAACGCACATCCAAGGAGTGCCTATAAAAGTGTCGGTGTCTAACATGTATCAGTACGCATTACACTCATAAGGGATATGGTTGTTGTGCTGCATAGGTTGCTTTATTGTAAAAGTGAAGTTTCTTGCCTAGGGGCCTAAGGTTCATGCTTACAATACACGCTTTCATTGCTTTTAAGGAAAAAGAGTCTCGTGTGGAGTTGTACCTTTACTCGACACGTGTACCCGACACGTGTTGTACTCGTACCCATACCTGAGAGCTCTTGGACACTAATGTATGCATATATTTGTTTAGACATGTACTCAATTATAAAGTGCATGTTCAATTTAAAATACTCGTTGTCATACACTTCTTGGATAAATATCCTACACTTTAAATTCATTTCTACAAGTTGTTGGATAAAGGTCGAGTTTGTTTCAGATTTAAGAGCTACGATTTAGAAAGATCGTTTACATATATAGCTCAGAACTACGATTATATCCCATGAGTTTCAGTCGTGTCCCTGTATCCTACCTTTTACAAATTTGCTGTGTTCTGTACCCATACCCGTGCAATATAGGTGATTTTTAGGGAAATTTTGATCTTTGATTCAAATTCAAGAGAGGACTTTTAAGAGAAGCAGAAGGCAGAATTTGTCCGAAACAAAATTTTTTGTTCTCCTCCTCAATCGCGAAAGTAGAAGCCCACCTATGCAACCATTCGGGTTTTCTCGCCTAATTTCTATCGTTCGATCCCCCTTAGTTTTCTTTTCTTTAATTCTCATTCATGGCTCTTGTCTAAGCTATCTTTGCATCTTATCCAGTGGCACATCGAGAAAATTTTCCGGACGCGAATGCATATCGATATAATAAGGCTAAACTACGTGATGTGAATGCATATCGACACTTGTTGTTGAAATTTTAAATGGACTTTTACTTTTCAATGGGCCTAACTCAAAATTCTAATTAACTTCTTTAGTATTTTTAGATAGCTTGGGCCTTGGGGTGCAATTTTAATTTTAAAATTTTTTTGGGGTGGGGGGTGTAGACATTACAACACTTTAGATGCAATTTAAAATATTTTAGGGGTGCAGCTGCACCCCTAGAGTGTATGTAGATCCGCGGACCGCTAGTGATATTATCTATATTATAGAAAAAGTACTCTTGGACAAGTTCTATAAAACTACTTGTCTACAAGTAAAATGTCACCGTGTCACCCCCTTAAGGAACCATGTAAGCAATTAGGGATTGGAGGTGCGGAGACGGGTTACCTTTAAAACATAGATTCCATGTCAAGAGAAAACTTATTTGAGGAACATATAATTTCTTTGCTTTCCTATAACCACTGTCTTAATTCTGTCTTGTCAAATAGAATGCTACATATAATCTTCACTTCAGTCTGCATTCTGAGTTTATAACACCCTCTACAATTTGTCTGTTTGTGATTTTTCCTCAATTTGCAGGAACTCGTGGATAAAATTTTATCATTGCTCTCGGATGACCAAGGTATTAGTTTGTTATCTTTCTGACTGTTGTATAAGATGAGTGTACCTACTAATTTTTTTCTTCAAAATGTCATGAGTTGACGAATGTGAATATAGTCGTAATCGTTGAACTATAAACTTAATTGGTGTTTTACTTTGCTTTACCTTTTGCAAATATGTTCTACATCTGGAATCATTGTATTCAAAACTTTTTCTAAGATGGCAATATCTGTGGAGTAGAAGTAAGATGCTGCTGGAAAAGCTTTATTTTCAAATATCTGTGGTTGAGTTTGCAGTCATTGTAGTTCCATCTTGTAACTATTGTTACTTGTTTGAACTTTATATTCTATTTGATATCATTTTAGTACTGTTTTTCTCTATTTATGTTTGAGCATGATATATATTCTCATTAATTTATTCATAACCTTGTCTTACGTACTCTTCTAGTCACTGAAGATATAGAAGTAGTTTGCTAGTGCCCGTCATGTATTGCCGTCTAGTTTGCCATATACTATGTCTGATTTTGTCCCCATTAAGTTGTATTTGTTCGCTCTGTATTTCGTCATACTGATTACTGAGCCTCATAATCGCGTTAAGGCATTTCTGGTGTTCTATTTTTCCAATACCTGGCCAAGAAGAAAGGAGGAGAAGTAAATAATAAACAGAATAAAATGTTAGGTTACTTCTTCCTTTCTTTTGACTGATGGCAATCTGTTGACAGCGGTTTAATGCATATTTTAAATTGATTAGGTAGTTGTGACTATTAAATACAATATGCATTTACTACTGGGTGTAGGTTTTGTTTTCGGGCTATGCTGCAATTTAAAGGCAGAAAGCATATATTATTGTGCCTGACTATACCGTTATAATATCCTCATCCAAATTCGGGTTGTTTGGATTACATATAGTGCTGGCCTGAGGGCGATATCTTGATCAATGGACCTTAGGACTGTGCCTGAATACTGGTAGGAAGCTGAACATCTGCGCTTGGGGAGCAGAACCATTTTCTTTAGAAGTTGGCAACCTTCAGAATGGGAGGGACTTGAAAGGAGGATTCTCTACCATCTGTCTGGAAACAGGAAATACTTGTGTTTGGGGTTTCACAGCTTGAACTGGGTGCTTATTTTTTCCGATATGAGGCAAGTCCTGGTAGGAATAAAGGCAACCTTCAGAATGGGAGGGACCTGAAAGGAGGATTCTCTACCATCTGTCTGGAAACAGGAAATACTTGTGTTTGGGGTTTCACAGCTTGAACTGGGTGCTTATTTTTTCCGATATGAGGCAAGTCCTGGTAGGAATAAAGTTTATTTCAGAGTTGTATTGGAAATTGGGGAGACAAGCAGTGCATCGAAATTATGGCGTGTTAGGGTTTTAAGGAGGCAGTCTGGCTTACTGGTAAAGCTATGAAGATCCATTATGACCTTCCCTTATGGTTTATGGAGAGTCTACTCTCACTAATATGAAGTTGTTGCTTATGTTATGTCTTCAACATGCTAGTATTCTACAGCAGGTTGACTGGTTAAGGAGAAGTGGCAGCTGCTCTTCCCCATATATTTTCGATGTTGAATTTAATCGTCCATATGCGTATGGAAGTACTTCTGAATTTCAAAACTGTTATTTGACATTTATGAATAATCAAATGCCACAATAACCTCGATCATACAATGCTATATGCGTGTCCTCTTCTAATTACAAGTGTTGGTAACTATACAAATTTGTGTAGTTTACAAATAACATCCTCAAATTTTTTCCCTTGCTGCAGGTTCAAGATCTCATTCTTGGGCGAAGAAAAATTCTATGGGAAAGGATGGAGTAGTGAAAATAATTGATGACACTTACAGGTGATATTTGTTTGCAGAATATTTTGCGAACTTTTGTGCTCATTTATCTATTTGGTCTATATCTTGTGTGTGGTGTGTGTGTGTGTATAATATATATATATATATATATATATATATATATATATAATATATAATATATATATTATATATGGTAATTTTTCCTAAGGTGACACCTTAGATTCCCACCTAAGGACGCGGCCTAAAATCACATCATTCCCTATTTTTTTGCGATCCGCTCCGTTTGAACTTGATCTACATGTTTTTAAACCCAAACACATCAATTTTGGGGTGAACCATCGTGTTTTGACATTCATCCACTCACCGCAATTTTAACGGTTTCGAATGAATAGAACTCTTTGCAGGGCTCAATGAAGGATCAAAACACGGCGGGTTCATCCCAAAATTGATGTGTTTGGGTTTAAGAACGTGTAGATCAAGTTCAACGGAGCGGATCGCAAAAAAAGGGAATGATGTGATTTTGGGCCGCGTCCTTAGGTGGGATCTAAGGTACCACCTAAGGAAAACATTCCCTATATATATATATATATATATATATATATATATATATATATATATATATATAATATATAATATATATATATATAGTTCTGGAATGTAGCTTTCTACTTCAGACTTGGCTATCTGAAACTGCATTGTAATTTATAGATTTACATCCTTTGGTGCTTCTGCAGAAAAATGCAAATTCCTGGGGCAACTGATTTAGCATCAAAAAGTCAAAGCAGCTCAGATATAAATCAAGTTAAACCTAAAGAAGAAGTAAGGGATTTATATCAGGAGATGAAGGTTTCTTGTCCTTGTGGTAGTACGTTAATTACTGACTCAATGATTCAGGTAATATTTCTTATCTGTTTGATAGGCTTATCATGATCTTCATAGTTATAATGCTATTGGTTCATTAATTATCTGTATATGCCTGTATAGTAGTTACTTTTGATATAATGCATATGAAGTCATAATTTTGATTCATATTGGAGGCTAGAGAAATTGTCCCAAAGCAAGCATTAGAACTTGCATTGCACGAATAGGAATCTAGCATTTTGACAAATGCCACCACGATAAATATTTGTATTTATGGGCTATGTGTAAATCTAGATGTAGATGGCATATTCCATCTTCTCAAAAAATAGATGGCTTTTGTATAGTTCTCTTCCTAAATAAAATTGGCTGCTAATCAATTGGTGCTAATCGTCTGTATTTCTTCAAAATTAGTGTTGCCTAGTGTGCTCTACCTCCCTCAAACCATGATCCAGTTTGTCATACCAATTTGTGGGGTACTCCTGATCCAGATCGATAGCACTCCCACCTGAGGAAAAAAAATGCAAACTATGGGCTAATTGGGTCATAAGCTATTTTGCCATATCAAGCATTAGTGTTTAGCCTTTCTTAAATGATTTTATGTGCAGATTTTGATACTTTAGAATTGATGTTTGAACTTTAAGTATCTAATTTTGCGATCAAGTTTTCTAACTGTTTAGTTTTATTCTTAAAAGATGAAAGTTTCATCACAATCCTTAGTTTTACATGTTTTCAGATTTATATGGAACTCTTCTCTATCTACATCCACACAATCATTACATACGCGTATTCACGCGCGCATACACACATTGTGATGATCCCAAATTGCCCCAAGCGCACTGTGTCCCACAATGTTGATCCTATTAATCCTATTCCTTCTGCACAGTTGGGAGCAGCAAGTAGCATACATGTGTTCATATCTGCGCCATGAGAACACTGATAACACTGTGTCAAACACTTCTATTTTCAGGTTAGGAAAGAGGAGGAAGAGGGAGGGTATACTTGTACGGAGCACAAATTTAGTGCTTGGTAGTAACGTGGATGCTTCTCATCCACACATTTAAGGTGTACATTTAAAAATGGCCCCGTATCAGTGGATCAGAAGTGACCACATCACTAACAAGCACCAGATTTGGTGCTTGGTACCAAGTATACCCATATTCGTCATGTGTCACACCAGCCTCTTGGCTAGAGTGATGCACACATGACAAACATCCAGCCCTCCTTTTTATTAATGTCTTCAAATATGTTGTAGCAGTTTTTGTAAAAAAGCCTTTGGTTAGAGTGATGCACATATAGCAAACTTCCCTGTATGAGCAGACTGATAGATCAACCCTTACACCTGATGAATAAATGGCATCGTTATGTGGTGTAGGAAGGAGCTTGTATTTTTTATGTCACTGGTGGCAAATTTTGAAATGATCCAACAATGCTAATCTGCAATGTTTTATGTAACTCTGGTGGAAAATTTTGAAATGATCGAAGAATGCTAATCTGCAATGTTTTATGTAAATTAAATCTTTATATTAATGCCTTTAGGATTATGGAATACCCTTTGGTCTACTAATCTCTAGGGCTTTTTTTTGAGTGTTTCTTGCCCTCTAAAGAGCATGCAGGGGTATTTAATTAATCAGACGTTAAATTCAAAGAGATTTAGTGTATAATATAATTCTTTATAGACCATGACTCCTTAATTCACTGTGCGTCATAACCATTGGTCTTTGTTGATTGCAGTGTGAAGAGCCAAAGTGCAAACTTTGGCAGCATATCAACTGTGTCATTATACCTGAGAAACCTATGGAGGGTGTTCGCCCTGAGGTTCCACAGTGCTTTTATTGTGAAGTTTGCCGACTCAACAGGGCAGACCCGTATGTCTCAAGAACTTTTTTTTTAATTCATATATCATTTATACAACCTGCTTATAATTGTCAGCAGAGTTTGGTATCTTCCTTACAAAAATATGTAAGCTAATCCTTGGTTTGAATTATGTCATCTCTGATTATCAAACATTGCTCTTAGAGAGTCTGCTTATAAAATTTTCAGTTGCTGACAACATATATGCCACATTATTTTTAGCCATAATTTAATGTTATTTTTTTGTTTTATTGATCAGACTTCTCTTTGAGAGGAAATGTTAACATACACTCTTTTAAAAAAAAATCATATGTTCTATTTCAAAGTAAATATTCTTGTGGCAAGATGCCAATGCTCACATTGTTGAAATCTTATCTTAGTAAAACTGAGGATGCATTTAACTGTTATGTAATTTGAAAAATGCAGTGAGGAGACCTACACATACATAATGAAGCTTGAAATTATCCTTGAGTTAATGGGTTAATATGGCTTATTACATTATTCAACGAAACCATAAAAGAATCGCATGTCTAATAAATTTAGAGATACACGCCTATGAACAGTGTTTGAAATATTGTTGGACGCTTCTGGCACCTTATGTGACATAGGCATGATGCACCTTATGTTTTTAAGGCAATTTTTTGTGGTAGTCGGATGTGTGATATTTACAACTCTAGTGCCAAAGAAAAAGGTCACTGAGAGATGCCGAAAGAGGAATGATGTTCTTGAAGGTTCAAAATGATATCCTCTCCGTTTTATATGAGTCAGAATGCCATTACAACCAATTCTAAAAAGCTTATTGCTGTCTCTAAACTATAGAATGTCCCGGAGTCAACATTATAAAACACTCGTCAGTGGAATTTCAGACTTGATCAAAGACGTAGAAAGGAATGAATGCTTTTAAAAGTCATTTTCAGGTTCATCATTAAAAATTATTTGCTTATAGAAGACTTTGAAAAAAGAGTTTTGAGTGGAAATGATATTGACATCAAATCTGTTTTAAGTCGATCAGTTCACATATTCTTGATACATCC